ATGATCGAGTGATATACTTTGCTTTGACCTGAACGATATATTTGAATGGAACTCTTGTTATAGCGATTTACTTGCCAAGAGAACTTTGTTGATATGATCAACTGATAAACATTGCTTCTAACTGAACGATATACTTGAATGAAACCTTATTTCAAACGCTTCATTTATTACTCGGTCTTGAGTGATGTGATCGAGTGGCACACATCGCTTCACATTGAGCCAAATACTTGAATGGGACGCTGTTTAAAATGATTCATTTATCAAAAGACCTTTGCTGATATGATCTAGTAACACATTTCGCTTCAAAGTGAGCGGCATAGTTGAATGCAATCGTGGTTAGAATCATTCAGTTGCTGCTTCAACTTTGCCTATTCGATTTTATACGAGCTTTCTCTAAAGTAGAAGCTATATTTGTACAATTTTATTGTTAGAAGTAATCATTTGACACGTACATTTCGATATATTAGTCTACTGAGACACTTCATCTCGAAGGGAGAGATGTACTTATATGAAACCCTGATTGGAGCGATTCATTTGTCAAAAGGTTTTTTTTGATATGACCAAGTGATACTCTTTGCTGCGGATTGAGCAATATACTTGCACAAAAGATTGATTAGAATGATTCATTTGTCAAGAGATAAGTGCTAATGTGATCGAATAACATAATTCGCTTCTAAGTAAGAGACATATTCCCACAGAACAATTATCAGACTGATACATTCGTCTTATAGCTTTCATCAGTGTATATAATGTTTCATAGTTTAGTTAACAGTAGCATATCTGAATTAGAACGTTGTTCATGCTAATCATGAGACAGGTATATCGATAATCTAAGTTGAATATAAATCTTGTCTTTTTCCTGGCCATATACTTGAATAAAACCCTGCTCATAACAATGCATTAGTCAAAAAATCCTAGCTGATTTGATTGAGTAACGTACCTCGTTTCGAATTGAGCAAGATATTTGAAAGGAACCCTAATTATAACAATTCATTTGTCAAAGGATCTTTACTAATGCAATTGAGTAACATATTTCGCTTCGAATTAACTGACATACTTGAAGGAAATCCTAATTATAACGACTCATTTATCAAGAGATCTTTGTTGATGTGATTGAATGACATGATTCGCTTCGAAGTGGATGGTGTACTTGGATGAAATCTTCCTCATAACAGTTTTTTTGCCAAGATACTTAGACTGACATGATCAATTGACATATTTTACTTCAAGGCGAGCAATATATTAGAATGAACCCCTGGTTATAAGAAATCATTTGTCAAGACACCTTTGCTAATGTGCTCGCGTAACACACTTCGCTTTCAGTTGAGCGTTATATTTGAATGACAGGTTGGTTAGAACGATTCATTTGGCATTGTATGCTTGAGCATTAAGAATCATGAAATTTTTCTAACAAGATAGAAATTTAGTCGAATGGATTCATACTTATAATGATTCGCTATTCATTTCATGATCAGTCATACGATCTAGTATTACATTTCATTTCAAACTGAGTAATGTATTCGATCAGTACACTCCAAATAGTGAAGATAAAGCGATTCCATCTCTATGTGTTTCTTAGTATATGGCAATGTGTTTGTTTTTGATAACAATTAATGAACTATTTGAATCGGACCACTGTCTCGCTAATTCATTATCTCAAACACTAGGTCTCATGTAAATCAAGCTGACTGTTGTTTTCATTAGAGGATTAATCTGAACAAAATCTTACTTCAAATAGTTTATCATTGACGCAATCTTCAATCATGAGTTTCACTACCACTGACTGCTTGTTAAGAACATAAATGAACTCGAGTTTAGTTAGGATCATTCATTTGTCATGTACTATTTGATTACATGTCCGGATGTTATTTTGATCACATCGAAGTAAAATAAATGAATACGATTTTCGTTAGAATAATTCCTCCGCCGTGCGCTATTCCTTAATATGTTCAGATGTTGGCGATCCCATCAGAATAAAATAAATGAACTCATGCTTCGTTATAATAATTCATCTGAAATACGCTGTTGAATGCTGTGTGTTTTGCTATCACGGGTTGCTGTAGAGTAAAATAATGGAACAAAACAGTTGTTAGAAGAATTCATATGCTATGTGTTGTTCAATCTTGTCCTCTACGGTTGTTCGATTACCAGAAAGTAAAATAATTGAACATGAGCTTCTTTAGAATAATTCATATAATATGTGCTGGTTAATCTTCTCTTCTAATGTCATCAATTGCTAAAGACGAAAATAATCGAAGGCAATCTTCCTTGGAATGATTCGCTTGTATTACGATCCTCTAACGCGATGCTTGTAAGAAATTTTTAGTTTAAACATGAGCGAAAACGAATAGATCGATTGTTATTTCTATGTATGTTTTGAGTGGACCTTCATCGTAGGAGGTATCGTTATATTTTTGATGTAATAACAATCATATATATGAATAAAAAGCTATCAATTGAAATAGTTCCTGAGTACAATGGTATTCGATGGCATGATCCAAAGATGTAATTCACACCGAAATATTTGATATATTTGAACAAAGCTTTGATTATAATGATTCATGGACTTTGTGATCTAGGACTACTTGAAAGACTTTCACATTGCATTCTCGATGAATTACATAGTTGAAGAGACGGTCCTGGTTGAAACTAGTCACTTATAAGGTATTCATTATGTGACGAGTAAGTCATGCACTAAGCTTTATTCCAATGAACTTTTTTGAATAGATAGTTGCTCAAAAATATTCGTCGGATACATGAGATGTTCTATTTGAGCGACATACAACAGTTATCTGAAATTAATTGATATACTTGAATAGAGTTATTATTAGGCTTATTCATTTTTTCGAGGATTTGTTTCTTCATCACAACAACAAAGGTTTTGCCCCAGGGCTAATAATATACATGAGAGAATAGGTTGTTGTTGGTATTCGTTTACCATGTAGTTCATAATTAGATCAGTAGCTTTAGGTTTGATTCAAAGTGTTGACTATAGATTGAACAGGATGCTTGTTGAGACCATTCAGTTTCTGACTGATTTTCAAATACATAATGCTTGCGATGGTTTACTTTAAGGTAAGTATCGAATTCGAATACAAATGTTGCTGTAGCTATTCATAAAGTATGTGATCAATGATAAGATGCTGTGTTTAAGATTGGTCATTGAGCTTAAACGAATGTGAACACATTTTAATCAGTAGTATATTGTTAAAAACTGAAGAAGCCCTTGGTCAAGTGACTTCGTACGTTACGTACTTTCGTTTTATTTCTTTATATAATCTCGCTGAATTCTTTCTCTTAAAAAAACTTTCATGTTG